TCAAACCTCATGGCTCTAGGGAAAAGCAGCTCACAGTTCATCTTGACGAAAGAGAAGCCAGAGGTGACAGAAACCCAGACAGAAGCTTTCTTTGACTCATTACTACCGCTAGGCACCAAGGTCTGGGGGAAGCCTCGTCTCTATGCACTCCTGGGAGCCAGGGCTAGAGAGCCATTGTGAGGGGATGACGCCGAGGGGCAGCAGTCATTTCAAAGACTCAGGGGCAGATGAATCCAGGCCTGACTGCTTCCATCTCCCAGCAGCTACTCTGGAATCCACAGCCAGCCCATCATGGCATGGTTCGCTCAGTGTTTCCTGTCGGTTTCTGTTTCTGCTCGTTATCCCCCTCTTAAGAACTGCTGTCTTCCATGCCCGTTCCCACAAACTCAAAATGCCTTTTCATTTCTACTGTCAGTGCTTCCTCCAGAATAGAAACAGATGCTGGGTGCTCTCACACCGTCCATTTGCTACATATAGTGACTCAGTACCCTAGTTCTGCGAGGAATGAGGATTCCCCTCAACTGGAAGCTTTGGAACCAGAAAGTTGCCGCAAGTGGGACTGAGGTTACTGGTCCAAGCCACTCCTGAAGAACCACATATTGAGTTGTTCTGCATCCAACCTCTTTGGGATGCTAGTCTTCTTTCTCTTGACTTAAGAGGGACTGGCTCTGCTGCTGGGTCCCACGTCAAATTCTAGCTCATGAGCGAATCTTTCATAGAGCCACAACTCACATCTCTTTCCATCGAGTCCCTGTGAGCCTAGGGTTGCCTGATGTTTCAAATCGGGGAGGAAGAGTAGCAAAGGCATGAGTTCAAAATCTTCCTGAGACATCAGCCAACTGGATGAAAGTCACCAACTCCTCTGTGCTTCAATTTTCTCAGAATCGGGAAGGGAGTCTATTCTTATACTTCCCTCTAGGGAAGTTGTAAGTATTAAACAAAATTTATATATGTGTACTGCACATATGTATATATACTATGCATATCTTGCCTCATGTTACATATTTATGTTATATATTAGCATGTATTTAATAAGCGTTACTATAATAAGTGTTGTTATCATTTGGTTTCTTCACTTAATGTGTATTTGTTGAGTGGCTTCCATATGCCTGTCTGTCCCTGTCCTATGGAACACTGCACTGAGTCAGACCAAGAAAACCACAACTATTAAGACACTTCTAAGCTAGAAGGGAGAAGGAGACATAAATGGGAACAATAACCTGTGGCAGATGGTGATAGTTGCTAGAACAGCAAGGCAACAATGGGGAACAGTAGGTGCTTTATGTGAGAGTGAGGAATGGGTGATGGAAGCAGACACTTGGGAAATGAGAGGGGTGAACCAACCTTGTAGAGACCCCGAGAAAAAAGATTTCTGGGCAAAAGGGATGAGCACAAAGTTCCAAGGTGCAGTGCACCCAATCTGTTTGGAAAAGTACTGTAGGGACGGAAGAGAGAAGCGTGGCAGGGAAAGAAATGGGAAGGAGGCAGGAGGGATAGTTCATGGAGAACCCTGTGCATGATGGAAGGGCTGTAGCTTGCACCTTGTATAAAGAAGGATGGCATCAGAGGAGCTGTGTGCAGAAGGGTGGCATTTTCTTGCTTAGTTTCTTAAGAATCAGTGAGGCTGCTGAGTCAAAGATGGACATAGGTGAAGTGAAGGCAGTGACAGGAAGACCTGTCAGTCACAAAACTGGTTTGACAGCATGGCGAGCTAGGCAGCGTTTAAGAAGTGAAGGTTGAGAGAGGAATTAGGTGTGGGCTAGTTTGGGGTGTAGGTCTAATAACTTAGCAACAGACAGTGCCTGGAATGACAGGGAGACTTTTGTCCAAAGGCATTTGGAGTTGTTATTAACTGAGATGAGCAGGTCTGGGGACATCTGGGCTAGAAGCAAAGACCAAGCGTTTAGCTTTGGAGACAGTAAGTGGGTGACGCTTCCTGACCATGCACAGGAGATGCTGTCTGTACCATGTTAACAAAGTGCTTCTCCCTTTTCTGTTCACATCAGAGCTATCTAGGGTAGTGTGAGGGAGGCTGGAGATTGCTGGGGTGAACCAAAGCCTCTACTTTAAGTCCTCTCTAAGTACTGATATCATTATCTTATCAGAAAGTCAGATTCGGCATCTCCTGCTTTTCCCCCAAATCTTCCTCCATTCTTAGCACAGGATTTAGCACAATAAATCCCCAGTTTGTATTGAGTTCACACAATAGAAAGTATAGAGCAGGACCTCAGTATTTCCTGAGGTCTTTAAAATAGAAACCTCCTAACTCCAAGCCCTGCTCATAAAAGATGCTGCCCATCCACATGTTGGCTTTCTGAGAGCACCTCGCACATTCTAAAGTCTGGATGAATCTTGGTGAGCACCCAGGCATACCATGTGTGGTGGCAGAGACCTGCACTCTTCCAGGATCCCCACAAACAAGAGATTAAAAGGCAGAAGATGAATGGCCTTTGCCTCAGAAACAGCTGCTGCTGCTCCAGCATCTGCATGGCCAGTTGATTTAGAGATTTGTGAAGAGAGCCTCTGAGCCCCAGGCTCCTGCCAAGTGGCTCACCAGGAGCATCCCCGTGGCAGAAATTATCGCTCCACACCAGGTGCTGCAGGACAAATGCCTTGGAGCTGGAAGATGAAATACACCTGCTGCTGGAGGAACCTGCAGATGAGACCTGGGCACAGCCCCGAATAGGAAGGTCATCCTGCCCTGAATGTCACTAATAGTGACTCAGAGATAAGTCAGTAGCACTCATCAAAGACTGTTCCAGAGGGAAGTGCCAGGGCTCTGCTTTTGATGAAAGACCCTGGTGGTATCACTTATTGATGTCACTATGCCTAGAGATGCAGGTGGGTACCAGTCAATCCAAACAATATAAAACTAAAACCATGCCCTCCTAACTATGAATGATAGCAGGATCCTTTCCCCTAAGCAAGGCTTTGCAGATATTTTAAGTACTAACTCACTAGCCATAGGTCAGTTCCCCACCACCTCCCCTCCAATAAAAATTAATGTCCTAGGGGTTGGGGAGATAGCTCAAAGAGTAAAATGCTTACCTTACAAGAACAAGGGCCTGAGTCTGATCCCTAGCACTAATAAAAAGAGCCAGGTGTAGTGGTACATATGCTTGTGATCTCAGTGCTGGGGAAGTCGAGACAGGAGGATTGTTGAAGCTCACTGGCCAGCCTAGCCTAGCCAGTGAACGTTACATCCCAGTAAGAGACCCTGTCTCAGAAAACAAAGTGGGTGTCTCTTGAGGAACATTGCGCAAGGTTGGCCTCTAGTCTCCAAATGTGTGTACATGAATTCCCTCACACAGGTGAATATGCATGCACATACACACACACACACACACACACACACACACACACACACACACACACGCATGCATGCATGCATGTGCAGGCCCATATACACACAAACCAGTGTTCTGAAAATCTAGTATGATCAAATATATTTGAGAAACTCTGGTTTAAAATGTGGAACATGTCTCTTTGCACAAGACTGCTCAAAACTTTCACTGTGTTGGAATTTTACTGTGCACTGGAATTTTCCAAAGGGGAAGAATGCACGCAGCAATATTTGAGCACAAGGACCTCTTTACCAGAAGTACCTATTAAGGCAAGTATTCCTCTAATCACACTTTGGGAAATGCTTCCTCAGGCTAACATTAGAACAGTTTGCATTCTCCGAGACCAAATGATGCTTGGGGAAAGAGCCCTGGAGGATGCTGAGGACTGGATTTTAAAAGTGCCGCAGGAGGTTTAGAAAGAAGGGAGGAGGAGGGAGAACTCATCAGCCAGGGCAGGAGGGGGGAGCAGATCCTCCTGCCTTGCCTTTGCTGACTCCAGAGCTTCTGACTGACGGATTCTGCTCTATTGGAAGGGCTTTGCCTCCAAAGTTGCAAACAGGGCGTTTGCTTTGAGACTTGGCTGGTGCTGTGTAGTGTTAAGGGAAGAAAAACTGAACAAATGTCCAAAGATTTCTTTCTTTGAGGACAAGGGTGGTTAGCAGAATTTAAACGCACCAAATGTTTCCCTTAAAATGCAATGTTTGAGACTAGAGCTCTGGCTCAGTAGACAAAGCAACTGTCACACAAGTATGAGAGCCTCAGTTTGAATCCCCAGAACCACATAAGGTCAGATGTGGGAGACTCTATTTGTAATTCTGGTATAGGAGAATCCTTGGAAGTTCTCAAGCTAGCTAGTCTGGCCTACGCATTGAGGACTGCGAAGAGGACCGTCTCCAGGTGAAAGGCAAAGACTGGCATCTGAGGTTTTCCTCTCACCTCTACTCATGTGCTGTGGCACATGCGTGCCTGCACTCACACACAGCACCCCCCCGCCACACACACACACACACACACACACATATACAAAATCATGAGAGAGAGAGAGGGGGGGGGGCAGGGAACAACCCTAGAAAAAATTTGGGCTGCAAAGTGTTTGTAGAAGAGGACAGTTTTAGCAAGACCTTTCTGTGACCCTTTCATAAAGTGAGAGTATCACAGTTGACTGGAAGTGCGGGGATTTGCTCTTACACCCTACTCTCTCCATCAGTTCCCTCAGCAACACCAGAAGACCATCTTCTCACGGTTCACACCCCTCCAGTGACAGGCCTCTAACTGCCTCCTAAAGCAGGTTAGCCTGTGGTCGGAAAGCTTGAAGTATAGGGATTGAGGACCAGAGCCCCCATAATACCTCAGTAACAGGATCACAGGCTTCCAGCATACCCTGGGCTTACTGTTTTGACTATCACACTGTGCATTAGGCTCTGCCGGTAAGTAATGCAGACTCTAAAATACGCATCAATAAGGAAGGCAGACTGCGTTGTCTAGAAATAGCACAAATAGAGCAGTCATACCGCGGTCTTCACAGTTTACTACCTGAAGAAAAGCAATCCTGGGCATGTGCCTCGTGGGTTAAGAGGAAGATTGTGTAGAGAAAAATTAGATGGTATCTGGGAAAGGATTTTAAAGAACATGAATGTCATGTCTTTTTAATCACAGAGAGAGCAGTCACAGGACAGCGAAGGCAGGCTGGAAAGAAAGAGTCATCAGACTACTGTGAAGCTGGGAGGAAAAAGAGGGCTGTCCATTTGGGGAGGCAGGTAAGTGGGGGACCCAGAGGGTCTGTCTAGAAGGTCAGAGCCACTCAGTCAGAGAGTGGAGGTCCCGAAAACCACTGTCCCGCTCATAATAATGCTACCCCAGTCACTGCACACCTGCTACGTTAGGTAAAGCCGGGCATCACCCTTCATTCCGTCCCTGCTCCGCTCCCTCCCCATCTGTTGTCAAGGCTGGAAAGCCTCTCACTTAAACCCGAGGAGGCTCTATGATGTGAACAGTGCTCACAATGTTTTTAATTAAAATGAACTAAGAGAATTTTAACAGGTAAAGCGATGCGAAACCTTTGCCGTGAAGGTCTCCCTGTGTCACTGAGCATCATTTACCAATTCAAGGGAAGATGTACTTCTGAACAAATGAGGCGTTAAGACTCAATTTCTGGATCATTGGTGGCACCAGGAATGAACTAAAAGGGAGACGTGTCCTTTGTTGTGAGGACCCCTTGTCTTCCCGTATCTCTGAAGGACAGCTACCCCCTCAAGATATGTCCTTTACCATTTAACTCCCATTCATCTGGTTCTTGATGCCCTGGTGAAGCCACCAAGCACGACACTTCAACTGATTTTAGTCTTGGGCAGCAATGAAGCCATCCTGAATGTCCCTTTACAAGGTAAAAGAGCTGGGCAAGGGAGGTAGTACATACATACAGGGGGTGGGAATCTGGTGAGGGCATGTGCTTGGAGTGTATGAGTGTGTATGATTACGCTTGCCTGTATTTGCACATGCCTACATATGCATGTTTGAACATGACTGCGTGTGTTTGTATATGCCCGTATTCATATGTTTGTTCATGCTTGTGTATAGTTTTGTTTTCTTGTGTGTGTGTGTGTGTGTGTGTGTGTGTGTGTGTGTGTGTGTGTGTGTGTGTGTTTATATTGCCTGTGAGTGTGCACAAAGCAGAAACCAGGCAGCTAAACTAGAGCTTATCACTGCCCCCACCCCCACCCCCGGGATCTAAACCTGTGAAACTAGGAGATTCTCTGACCCGCAAGTCACAGAAATCCTTGTTGTGAGGACTGGGTGCAGAATTCAGAGCACACTGTTCGTTTGCAGGGACCAGAAGGGCTTAGAGTTTGCCCACAGACCTTTGATGACCGACAGCCTTTTGCCTGATCATAGCAGCCAAGCTCAGTGTCATTTCCTTCCCAGAACAGCTCCTTTAAGTGAGCTTGGGGCCTTATCGATTGCCCTTTGCCCCTTCTTAGACATGCCAATTGTCTGCATTAGTCTACCTGAGAGTCTATGTTCATTTCTGGAATCCAAATTCAAATGTTAGCTTCCCTATGCAAATTGGTATGTGTGGCCTAAGGTAAACCATGAAATGCTATTTGTGGCCATTAAGATTGTGGTTCATGTGGGCTCAGTAGGTGAAGCACTTTTTGAGTAAGCCTGATGACTGGAGTTCTATCCCTGGAAAGCCACAAAGGAAGGAGAGAATTGCCTCTACGGACTTTTCCTCTGACCTTCCGATATGTGACATAGCACGTGCCCCTCCCATAGCATATATATCCATAATGACAATAAATACAATTTGAATTACTGTGTGTTATGAAACACTGTCTAGGGGTGAAAGGCACTGGGTGAATGACTGAGCACCCTGCTCCACACCAGAATCTTCCCATAAGCCCTTGCCTACTCAGTTCCAATCCGATTCCTCCCTCTCATCACCAGAGCACTTCCTCCCAGCTCTCCACAGGCTGCAAGCTCTTCCTGCTCAGTCCTGGTCTGAAACTCCATATATGGCCACAAGTTAATGAGAGCTTGAAAGCTTAAAAATCAGAATTTATCCATTTGGGGCCAGCTGAACTTTCCTGGTTGCCACGCAGGCGTCTACCTAAAACTGGTGCTGTTTTCACCCGCTTTTACATGACTGGGCACTCATTGTATACGCCCAACAGAGACAGTGGCGTTGCATTTGAGACAAGAGGAATAAAAGGGATTCTGCTATTTTCTGCGGCTGTAATACTTGAGGTCCACACATTCCATAAGTGTGTGTGGAGGGTGTGATGTGAAATAGGGATTAGCTTTGGAAGATGACTCGGGCCCCAGGCTTTCCTCTATAGCAGTGATTTTCTACCTGAGGGTCACAGCACCTTTGGGTGCTGAACAACCCTTTCACGGGGGTCACCTGAGACCATCCTGCATATCAGATATTTACATTATGATTCATAACAGTAGCAAAATTACAGTTATGAAATAGCAATGAGAATAACTTTATGGTTGGGGGGTCGTCACAACATGAGGAACTGGGTTGAAGGGTCACAGCATTAGGAAGGTTGAGAACCACCGCTCTGCAGGAAGGCTCAGTCTCTCTGGACATGGTGTGGGTAGCTGTCTTTTGTAAGAACAGCATGAAATACTGTGTGTTCATATCCAGTGCATCACTTACATATAATAGGTGCTCAATAATGGCCAGTTTTAATTATGATTTATGAGTCCCTCTGAGATGTGAGGTGCTAGGTGAGGTATGACATCTATAAAAATTTATTCCACATTTGGGCCCAGAATTCAGACTCTTAATCACCATGCCAACGGCTCTCAGCCCTACCTGACTCCAAAACCATCCAAAGCCTTTACTTTTCCTTAATTACAGACTTCAGACATTACTTTAAAGGATTCTAATCTAATGATGTAGGACAGGACCTGGGAATCGGTATTTTGTAAAATCTGCACCAATGACCCCAGTGGTCAGAGACCAGAAAGGATTATTTAGAGTCACCTGTATTCACCTACTCAGACATTCTTAAAGACAGAATCATAACAAAGTTCCTGGCAGGGCTGGAGAGGTGGCTCAACAATTAAGAGTACTTTTTGCTCTTGCAGAGGAACTTTGTTCTGTTTCCAGTACCTGCATGGTGGCTCATGACCATCGGTAACTCCAGTTCTGGGGATCCAACACCCTCTTCTGGCCCCTGAGGGCACCAGACACTCAAGTGGTGAACACACATATACGTAGAGAAAACACTCGTACTCCTAAAGTAAGATAAATGAATATAAAAAAGGTCACTGGTATGGTGACTGATAACATAAAGGTTTCCAAAATAAGTGTGACACACAGCCCCAATCTGACACAAGACTGGTGAACCGGTGAATGTCTTTGCAAAGATTCCAGTATCTTTCCCACAGCTCTGCTGGGAAGCATGGCACTGAGGCTGTCTTGGAACTTGAAGGCCAGATAGTAGAAGCACTTAGAAGTAGGATATCATCATCCATGACCCTTAGGGCTGGAAGGGAAACATCCAGGGCAGAGGACTTGTCCTGAATTGGGAAATGTTATAATCGATGATAATGAGAACTAGGGGTTGAAAGACCGGCATTTATCTCCCTACAATTCCTTAGCAGGAAAATGGAAGTTATTAATTAGTTGTCAAGGCTGAAGATAAGGCTCTGAGGACTGAGAGTTTAGGCAAGTGAATAATCTCATGTTTAGATTATGGAACTGGGGAGTTGGAGTGTCCCTTGGGAGTGCCCAGCTGAGAGGTAATAGCCCCACGGGACAGAAGACAGGTGCAGTCTCCCTATTAAGTGACAGACCTGCGGGTAAGTGCAGCCACCTCCTTCTGACAGCAGTTCTTGTGGGTCTGAGGACTCAGGAGCTGGGATAGGTCCCAGTCAGAGCTGTGTTTATTGGAGGATGGGGAGGAAAGAAGAGAAGTGAGATTGAAGGCAAGTTTGCATACTGATTGGAGGCAGTGGTAAAGACCGCAGGTCCTTGGGAACTGGACGGTCTAAGCATGGACGAACAGATACAAAAACTGTTTATATAGAAAACTTCATGAGCACGTCAGCACCATGAGAGCAAGGATTTTATGTTTTCTTTTCTTTTCTTTTTTTTCAAGACAGGGTTTCTCTGTGTAGCTTTGGAGCCTTTCCTGGAACTCACTCTGTAGCCCAGGCTGGCCTTGAACTCACAGAGATCTACCTGTCTCTGCCTCCCAAGTGCTGGGATTAAAGGCGTATACCACCACCGCCCGTATGTTTTCAAGCCATTAGTTCTCACCAGAATGACCCAACCTGTTCAACCCAGACGTAAGCAACAGAGCACCATGCTTGGCTATTCAGAGACATGATCAGCCATCAGACACTATATCACAGAAAAGTAAGCAAGGGCGGGGGAAGGCAATAGAGGCTGGATGCCTGCTCTGAACCTAGTATTGTAATAATGCCCTTGTTTCCAAACCTTGCTGAACCTTTGAGTCACTTGTGAAGCTGTATGCACATTTAAAAGACTCTTTACAGTATATAGAGGTAGAATGTAGGCGTGAACAGTTTTAGAAGAATTCTAGATGGTTCCACAGGGTGGCCAACTTAGGAAACAACCGACTTCACACCTTATTCCTTTAATCTAAAGAACAACCCTTCGAGGCAGGCATAATAAAATTTAAAAACCTTGTTTTACAGATGAAGTGACTTGGATTGTAAGAAAATAGTCATTTGTCCAAGGCCAACCAACAATTAGGCACTCAGCTCTGGATTTAAGTGCAGCAGTGTGATCTGATGTTCATGCCTACTCCACAGCACGTTGGTCAGCTCAGGCTGCCATAACAAGAAATCACAGGCAGGATGGGAGGCAGCAGGAAGTTGTTTCTCACAGTACTAGAGGCTGAGAGGCCAGACCAAGATCTGACAGGCCAGCTCTCAGTTAGGCCTCTCATGGTAGCTTCCAGGTTGCTGCCTTCTTGCTGTGTCCTCACGGTGGGAGGAGAAGAGGAGAAACAAGACAGAGAGATGAGGAGAACAAAGAAAGAATGATGGGGGAGGGGAAGAGAGGGAGAGAGAAGAAGAGAGGGAAGGAGAACTTAACTTGCCTTTTCAGAAGGAGACGCATCAGACCAAAGCCTTGTCCTCGCAACCTCATTTAACATTATTACCTCTTTATAGTCTGTGTCTCCAAACGCAGTCATACTGGGTGTTAGGTCTTCAGCGTGAGCTTTGGAGGGAGGTAAGGTTCAGTGTGTAGCTTATGGGGTCTGGATACTACTCA